AACACAAATTTTTCAAAAAGCTATTAAACACAGTTTAACCAAACAGGCCTGAAAAACACACCGCACCTAATAAGCTGCTCCAAATGGGGCCTAAAAGCGAAACCAATATTATTCTTGAGGATAAACAAAACTATATTTACATAAGAATAAAAATTAAATTAATTATTTATACAACAAAAATGTAAAAATCAAATTGCCCATCAGTTGTTTTGGACTTCTAAGCTTTCCAAATGGTCCCTTTCTATTTATTTATTTTTATTTATTTGTATTTTTCTTTTATCTCATCATTTGTACAGATAGTGGAATGGTGCAATTTAATATATATTTTTTAAAAAAATTATATATTTCTTAGCATGTATATTATAATACACTTAAGATTATTTAATTTATGTTGGGATTCATATTATATAAGAAGAGTTTATATTTCATTAATTTGCATTAATCTAAAAAAAGTTTTTCTAACCTATTGCAGCGACTTGTATGAATATATAATGTATCGTAAACAGGAGTCAAGGTGGTAAGTAGGCTGACGTATCGGCTCGCATATAAATACAATTTTGACGAGGGCTGATAATATATATATTTTTCATTAGGTTGTGAGTGAAGTTTTAGCATATTATAATTATAATTCCAAACATTCAACATTCAATTTTAAGAAACTATTAAATTTAATTAAAAAAATAAAATAAGAACTTAATCTTTGATGCGTGCTAGAAAATTTACGGTGGTAGCGTAATTTATTATCATCTTAGTGTTGCACGGGGATTCAACACACACTCAGATGAAAGAGAATCAGCCTGTGATGACACCAGAAGTTTTTACATGGAAAACCCATAAAGGGAAAAAACCACGGGGCTTGACCCAGTTAAAAAAATTCACTATAAGTTGACGATTACAGATGCCCCATGTCTCACAGACGAGAAATGATTACTAGATTTTCCAATATACAATGTCGACTGACGACTCTGGTTAGCGGTGGTCGACGACAGTTGATGACGGTCGATGGTAATCGACGGTGGTCAGCGGTGATCGGTGGTGGTCGACGACGGTCTGTGATGGCAGGGATAATGTTGGACTTAAGCTCATTCTCAAAACCTCAAGTTCTCCCTCTAGCCTCCTTCTCTCATGTGAGGGGTGGGGCTCTATTTATAGTGTTCTGGGTGCAGTTAATGAAGGAATATGAATCATTTTGATCGGATAATTCGAGAGCTTACCTCGATTGAATGATGTTTGATGGACATTTGAGTGCCTTAACGATGTTAGAATTGAGCAATCTTGGGCTCGTTGGAATCGTCTTGTCGAGACGTTTGATTCGACTATGAACTCGCTTAATTTGACATTTGTTTGATCTTTCAAATGTGTCCGAAAATATTTCAGAAAATATTTCAAGAATGATTTAATTGCTTGATCTGGGCTTGATTTGACTTGGTTTGGACTAACTTTGATATCATTGGGTCATTCTCATCGAGCCGGTTAGTTTGATAATAAGTTTACAGAAATCGGAGCTCTGAATGACTTTTTATCAAGATTTGAATATTTCTTGCTCAAAATATTATCTTGAGATTTGTGCCGGATGATGAAAATTTGTTGGTGGCGTATCAATCTTAAATAATTGAAATATAATTGAAAACTTTAGGATGTTAATTAAAGGTTCAAATGATGTATGAATCTTACATTATTGTAATCAATTTAAATACCTTGAGAAGAGAAATCAAATGAGCTTATATTCACCAAACTCTAAGATCATTAATATCTTTAAAGAATGGATGATTGGTATATAATCAAAGGAAGTTAAACAAGTCATTTGTTGGAGTATTGTAAAACATTGGTCAAAAAAATCAAATTTTCACCCTAACAATTTAAAAATTGATTCTCTTGCTCCATAATTAAGGGAATTTAGTCTTAAAATTAAAAAGATCTTGAAGATCGAAAATAATTTAGTGCTTTGCTTGATGACTCAAACCCATGATCACCACTAGAAGTAATTGTTATAGTATTGTCATCATCACTCGACAGATGTTATCCAACCATCATCACGTAGTTGATCTTGTGGAAAGATCATTATTTGATAGCCACTGTCCAACATTTTATTATCAGTTGATCATCATTCGACCATTTTTGCCCTACCACTATTAACCAACTGTTACTCCAATCAATCATTCTCATATTACCATTATTTATCTGCCACCATTGTTTAATAATCATTATTTATATTTGATAGCCAATGTCCAACCATTTATTATTAGTTGATCATCATTCGACCATTGCTGCCCTACCACTATTAACCAATTGTTACTCCAATCAATCATTCTCATATTACCATTATTTGTCTGCCATCATCATTTAATAATCATTATTTTTATATTATCCCCAATACTTTTCTTTTTAGCATCATCACTGCTCACTTATTATCATCTAGCAACTGTCTCTAGACATTCAACCCTCAATATCACCACCCATTTCTAGCAATCTCTACTACACCAAAAAGGGCTGAGAAGCACAACAAAACTCTATTACCTTCTTTTACTACTGAAAAAATGAGCATGCTTTTTGTAATCTCTATCAATTATAGTGGATCGATGTTAATGTAAAAATATTTAGACCACTTATGCTCTTTTAATTATATCTATTTGTCTATAGAATCTTTATGAAAATTCAAGATATAAACTCTCCTATTTGACGAGTATAATTTTTTTAGCATGCAATAATCTTGCATCATTTGTGAAATATGCTCTTAACAAACTAAAAGCATTTTTTTTAATGAATAACAAGCAATTTCTAGACTTAAGATAACATATTCTAGCTAGTGAAAGTCATCTAAACTTAATTTTAGAGGATCATTTTCATAGTATGCAAGAGTAACAAGCAACTCAAGGCCTCTCTGTTGTCATGCTAGAGTTTTTCATCCACTATAGTCTCACTTTACACATCTTGATACTGCAATTTTAACCCATCATCCTCATACTACCTGACTAACATATAATCTCATAACAATACTAATAGATCTAGTACAATCTGGCTATATTTTTACCTCTTTTTATTTCATAGGAGAAATATTTTGACATTCTATTTAAAATAATTTTTTTTTTTATAAAATAAGAATCAACTTATTCTTCGTCATAGCTTTATAATATTTTTACTTATACGAAGGTTATTCTCGAACAACCCATTTTTAACTTCAAAAGTCCAAAAAAGTTCTAATATACTCGTTTAGAGTCTAACTCAAAGGTTTGAAATTAGGTAATTTTAAAGTTTTTAATCCTAAATTCTGTGAAAAGTTCTTATAATCAATTTTGAGGTTGAACAATTGAAAAAAAACCTCCCTTATGAAAATCAGAACTATATAAGTGATTCAAACGAAATTGCAATCAGAAAAAATCGTTTTCCTTAGCCCCTCCCAATAGGGCTGTAAACGAGCCGAGCTTGAGCGAGCTCAGGCTCGGCTCCTTATGGGAGCG